ATTCACACTACCGCTGCCGCCTCTCCTGACCACCCCGTACGATAAAGGGAAGCACCCTTCTGCCGCCCGCAGAGTTAGCCGCTTCAGCACCCACTCCACCAAGTGGGCGAAATAACCAAATCCCACATCCCCGCCCAGACCGAACGCTTCCTCGCCTCCATCGAGATCCTCACCATGCAAATCCGAGGCTCCATGCTCCTCCTCCGCAGACAGCACGCGTTAGGCTTTACCATTTACAGCCACTGCCAGGGAATGGAGCAGGGCATGCGCCTGCGAGTGTGGGGCGAGTATCTCAACAACATGCGCTTCCACTGCATCAATATCCGGGACGGCCTGATCGCCTCACTCAAGACCCTATGCTGGAGCTTCGCGGAGTGGATGGGCATTTACAAGGATGACTTGCCGCGTGGGGTTGTCCTGCGCGCTACAGGGTCACTGAGACAGGCAAATGAGTTGAAAGCTGCGATTGATCGTTTTGTCTACCCGACCTGGGAGGAGATGGTTGCCAAGGATGTGGCCAGGGAGCAGCCGATTAATATTTCTGCTCTCACGATCAATCAGCTTGTTGGTGACTTGGTGGATGGAGGTGCTGGAGTGATTTCGAATAACTGAAAGTAGTTTTTGTTGTGTTTCCAGGTATATTATTATATTCTACTCCCTTCCTTGTTTGCTTTTTTTTGTTTGTTTTGGTTTCTCATTCATACTTTCTACTCATACGCTGATATTCCCCTCGTGGATTGCGTTAGGTTTCTCAAGGCAATCGCGACCTCATTCTAATCTCGTCAATCTGGCAGCACTGAATACTACACAAAGATATCTGAGTCTGCTTCTGAAGCTGAAGGAGTGGGAAGTTTGTTGTCTGAAATATTTACATGTTTCGCGTTTAGGGTCACACCCATCAACTTAAGACAGTGTATTGTGGATATGGAATTCCCTAATCTGAGGATAGCTGAAATGAGTTTTTTGTTTCTATTCTGAGTTCTGTGTCGGCTCTTTCTAGGAGTGCTTATATCTCCTAATGAACGTTTCGAAGGGTCATATCTTCGCACACCAGCGTGTTTTCGATATGCTACCGTTGATCCCTACGGGTCGTATTTCTATGTTCCCTACTATCAAATGTCGAAAATGAAAGAAGCTGCATCCAGAGTAACTACTTCTCTAAATTTCTCCTTCTAGACATGTATCGGTTTCTTCTCCTCGTTTTCTCTCATCTCATATGACCTCAATGGGAACTCCTTTTTATACGCGTCATGGTCAAAGGATCCCCATTCCCGAGGCTTCGATTTCAACCGCTTTATTCCTCAACAGAGGGTTGTTTTTCGACAAAATTCCTTGTGTTATTGCTTTTACTAGTGCGGGTTTACCGGAAACTACCTCACAATTCACTTGTTGTGCTCAGAATCGCCTCGAAGCCCCCAATGTGAATCTCTACATCGGGGCCTGGTTTTAACACAGCACTGAATTTCTTTACCTCACACTTCTCTACAAGCAAAATGTAAACAAGCATCTCATTTCTTACAGCTTGAAGGTACACATAAATCTCTCTTTCAATCGTTTCGTATGCAGACAATATTGCTCCACTCACGACTAACTCCAACACCCTTAGAATCTCTCTTATCAAACCAAACCTCCCATCCACACATCCACACATCCGACCATGATAGAACCTCTCGATCCCTACATCTTGGTCAAAGAAAAGCTCAGGCCCCCTTTTCACCTCCTCCTCATCGCGCCCGCCCAATTCTCCCAAGCAATCCAAGAAGTGCTCCTGACCGCAAGCAAAAGCTTCTCCCAATTCCGGCGTCTACAACGCATCTTCGCCGACCGCTATTTCTACACCTGCTCCAAACGAAACCCCAAACACTTCAGAGAACATACGGACTCTATCACCCGCCTCAGCCAGTGGAAAGCCCAATATCCCAGCGCCCACGACCCGAACTTACTCCCCACAGCAAAGCTACCCCGCCACGCAGTCAACCTGCATCTGGACCGGGACACGTATGAGAAATTCGTCACCGCCTTCGAGCAAATGAAGCATGAGTTTCTGATTGGGCCGTATCTGGCTTGGTGCAATGCGAAGAGGGTCTTGGACCATTTGATGGCGAGTGCGTTTACGTTGCTGCCGCGGCCGGAGGAGCTGATGATCCAGAGCTGGTGGGACGAGTTTGTGTGGGAGATGGCGCCTTGGGAGGAGATGTTGGAGAAGCTCCGGTTGCCGTCGTGGAAGACTATACTGGAGGATATGGAGAGGGTTGTTGGGGTAGCGGTGGATTTGGAGGGAGAGTGGGAACGGGTGTGTTGAAGTCTGGAGCTTGTTTGTTTTTTTTTTTTCTGGTTTCCGATGTGCGGGTTGTGTTTTTAATCATCCTTTTTTGCCAGCGTCTTTCCTGACTTCGGATATTTTGTGCGCAAAAGCCCATGGCTAATGGTTGCCCATGAAGAGGAGATTTTACATTTTTGAAGGCGCATTTCGGTTGGGATACTGAATACCTTATAGTCTTTTAGGAGACACGGTGTGGTATTCTCTGGAATTCCTTTCTTGCTTTCTTTCCTTTTTGTCACGAGAATAACGAACGATGTGTCAATGCTTTCGGACGGTTGGGGCGTTCGGGAGGCGTCAGTCTGTTTGCATATTTCAACTGTTGGTTTAGTTGTCCTGGTCCTTGCTTGACATCCTGGATGGAGTGTTATGCGTGTGGTCATTTCTTTTTCTCCCTATTAGATTTCTGTTTCGTCGTAGTAATTGTATACATTAGATAGGAGAATTACCCAATTAGCGATTGTTTGCCCCCCTCATTTCTTCGTTGATCTCTCGCGCTGGGAATTATGGATTGTGTGCTTGGCTAGAGATTTTTTTAAGGGGCTAATGTTTATACAAACAATAGAGTTGCAACTTGTTTTGATCGGGCCATATTTATTTTAACTCACCATTTCACATACGCACATACAGTGCGTACTTTTACACGCAAAAAATATTACATGAACATAATGGCGTGCCTAAAAGTATCTTTCTCAAACTGATATCGTATTTTCCTGCCCTAGCATAACACAGGAAAGGTATATTAGAAACGATGCAAACGGGGTTAGGTTTGCCTGATGCCTGATAGAATTTCCCTCTGAGGCGTGAAAAGGAAGGCGAAAAAAAAGGGAAAAACCAAGGGAAAAAATAAGGGAAAAAATGCGGACAGCCATCTCTTCAAGATATGACAAGTGGTGTATCCCAATCAACTCCAAGAAATAGGTGGGAAGAAGATTTTTAAGTGGCAAAAGAGCTCATATCTGGTAAATGAAGGGATTCTCATAATCCTAATTCGCGTCACTAATGCTGGTAGTAAGCCGCTCTAACCTCGAGGTAATTGCATCGATGACAGCCGATCTGATAATGAGTCCAGTGGTTAGTCAATGACGCAAGCAAAGTAGCGAGGGCATGTTAAGCGGATCCCCAAAGGTAACTCACTCTCGCTCCACCATGTTCATAGCATCTGCGATTCTGGCCCGTTGTAGCCGTTGCGGGATCTTCGGCTGATGGCTGCCAGGGGTACCTGGAGTCGAGGGCACATTGGCTGTGGTAGCTGTCTCTTCGGAAATGCGAGACACCTCTGCGAGGAGGCTTTTCACAAGAGATTGGGCCTTTGGTTGTTTGATATGTTAGTTTGCCAGTCCAATGAATTAGCCACCTCCTTTTGCGAGAACCAAAGAAGTGGAGAAAAGGAATACGAAAGGTAAAAGTAACCAAAGAAAAATTGTCTTACCGTTTGCATCCTACGACCCAATTCGCCGGCGTGTTTCGTGTCGTCCTTCCCCTCCGCCTGGGCAAGGAAAACAGAGAGTCTGTCGACCTCACTCACCCAACCCTTTTCCTTCTCACTCATCGGCCGGCCACCTGCCTTGACTATCTTATTCCGAATATTATTATACCGGTCCACTAGCTGCCTTTGTCGAGATTCCGCCGCTACCATTCTCGCATTTAAGGGTCGCGCTTCGTTTCCACCTCCGTTGAGTATCCCTCCCCCTCGATCCTGTCCAATGCCATTAGAAATATTGTTGATCCGTTCCGCTATTTCTGCGAGTTGGCTTAGTTGGTCCTGCATTTCGCCTTGTAACCGTTCGCAGCGGCGGAAAAGGTCCGAGGCGGCTCGTTCTAAGGAACTGGTGTGAGCGCTTAAAATTCTATGGGCCGCGGTAATGAGGTCTAATGTTGATGGCGAGAGCCTGATAGGTTCCCTGAGAGTATGTCTATGGCCATGCGGAACGACATCTTCGATAAACGAAGCCAGTGGGGGCGTGGAGTAGAATGCTGAGGAAGGCTGGTAAGCTGAACGACGGGTTGCAGTAAGTGATGGCTGGTGGGTGGCATCATTTTCGAAGGAAAGCTCGTTTGTGAATGATAATGGGTCAGAGGATGGTGAATCGAGAATAACGGCATGGACACGGGATGTGGAGGTTGTCAGTAATAGATAACCTAGGTCGTAGTCGTAAAGGACTAGACAGCTTGAAAGATGGTCCGTGGGTAATTTATTGATACTAGTAGTCATGGATTCCTGGTCAGTGACTTGAACAATTTGTTCTCGAAGAGCTATCGATCCATCGCAGAGAACCTTAATACGGAATCCAGAACCGGCGGGGTCGGGTGACTGAAGTTCTGTTTCAAGTCTTTCGGCCCAGGACAACAGTGAGAGGAAGGTGACATTGTTTGTTGAGGTGATGAAGAAGTTATATCGGGAGTGGGCATCCTCGGTGAAGAGAGGCCAAGAGTTTGGAGTTTGATATTTCTCCCTGACCGTCTCCAAAGACTCCAGTAACAGTAACTCAGATGGGTCAGACACCGGAGCAGTAAAGCCCCTCTTACTTGTCATGGGAAGCCATTGACCTTCAACCCCATCCAGCTCAAGACAAATATGAACCCTACCAGTTGTGGTAGCAAGGCATATTACAGTTGCTGACACACCCTCCCGAAGGTTATCTTCAAGTGCATAGCCGTCTTCCCCCGACATCAAATCTTCGACATCAGCTTTGGCAGCGATAACCAAAATGTCAGTGAGGTCCGATTCATCTATTTCCTCACCGAGATCAAATTGAAATGGACCTTGTAGCTTTGGTATGGCACTTAGGTTTGCAGGGCGAGCACGAACTTCAACCATTGAGGAAAGCCCAGATTCTTCTGGAAGAGGCAGAGGCTCTTGACTGTCAATTTCTGTCAGCCAGTCATACTGCTGCTGGATATACGTCTTCTCGTGATCAAGTTCAGACAGATCGCCCTGTACACTAGCAAATTTATTAATAACAGATGTCGTCAAAGTCGGTATCGTAATCGAGGGAACCTGCCACTTTGACGGCAGCAGTGGGCACAATGCATAGACATCTCCGGGTCGCATTGCAATCCACAGAGTCATTGGTGCCCACGCATCTTCATCTTCGTAGCCATGGCCTCCAAAACAAGCTGAGGAAACTTCCATATCGAAGAAATCGGCTGAAAACCCTTTGTTTTGTCCAAACCCAGATGGCGCAAAGTCCTCGTCCATCGACGTCCCGTCTGCCAGCTTTTTAAGATCGACAGCCACTGTTGGCCTATCAAATGACCAATGGCTATTCCTGTCAATCTCCCATACACGCACCGCAGCATCTCGAGTGACCGTAACGAGACACCCGCCTTTGTTATCGCAGATTCCTAACGGATGCCACAAGGCAGTTACTACTGGGGCCTCTGGAATAACGTGTGTCGTAGGGCCTAGTTGAAACGTCTTAAGACTAAGTGGGGAATAATCGGGACCGGAAAGGTGGGAAGAGTCCGGTAATATTGCGACGTGGATGGTATGAGGCGTGATGATAGCGAGGAAATTACCATTTGGAGAAGGGACCAGTTGTGTTATCTGGCCGTATACTGGTACGGTAAGAAGCTGGAAGAAAATATTAGATACAGACAGAGCTTTTAAATAACAATGTTCCCCCCCAATGGATTGATTTGTCTTACCCGGTAGAAAGACGCCTGCTTGTCCGTAGAACGCTCCAGGGAGTGCTCGTCTTCATGCGTCCGACTCCTCTCCGTTTCTCGTCCCCGCTCTGTTTCCCCCCTCTTCTGCCGCACTTCAGTTTGCCATTCGTCCTTCAAGGTAGAAAGATTAGACCACCGAATCTGGTTATCCACGACCGCGAAGACCTCCGTCCCTCTTCGCGCCAGAGCCCGCCTGGGTCCGACATACGGCTGCTCGCGCGTGTCACCAGCATCCTTTTTACCCTTCCCAATGCGATTTGCTGGTGATGAATGCGCTGGCCTGGAGCCTAAAAAGAACGTAGCTCCTGGAGACGGCCTGGAAAGCCAGGGAGGAGAGTAATCAATGACTTTCGGCATGGCTAGGGTGGGTGCGTTAGCTAGCTTTCGGGGTCAAGTATCGCCAGCTCGCCTGCACGAAGGGTATATTGATTTATTTAGAAGACAGGAAGGCTGTTATAGGATCGAATCAACGGCCATTGATATGAGCGCAGGCGAGATAATGAGTACTCTCTCTAGCTTCGACTGTCATTGATCTGTAGCGCCTGGAACCACAGCGTTCCTTGGGTCAAAATAATTTTTGGCTTGCAGTTGGAGCGCGCCAAGCAATGAGCTCTCCAGATGTCCTCAACAAACCTCATACCATATATTTAACTACCATACATAAAACATCAAATAAATAAATACCTAGGAGAACACCGCTACTTAAAAACAACAATATATAAGTACAGCGCGACAGTCATGATGCGGCCTACGATTGAAAGATTGGACAAGCCAAGCGCATATTATCTATCAAAAGTATGTCATTGCTGGTCTCTGATTCCCCCCTTGGCCGGATTGAATTACTGACCAAAAGCTCTTCGCTCGTAGCAGAATAAACGGAGGAAACATGGTGACAGAGATGGACCCCAAGAAGACCCCATTGACCCTTTGAAGGATGCCACTACACTCTATGTCGGGAACCTGTATGTCTGCACTTCAACCGGCCAAGATCATGTTTGGTTGATATCCAATTAACATAAATGCGACACAGGTCATTCTATACGACAGAGGAGCAGATACACGAACTGTTCGCCAAGTGAGAGATATTTTTCAGCGTCGATGAACACCCTGCTCTTTTACGTTAGAAGATGGTTATTAACAATGACCAAATACAGATGCGGAGAGATCAAACGGCTAGTTATGGGTCTCGACCGGTTTGCGAAAACACCCTGCGGTTTCTGTTTTGTTGAATATTATACCCATCAAGACGCGCTCGACTGTATGAAATATATTGGAGGGACGAAACTGGATGAACGCATAATTCGGACAGATCTAGACCCAGGCTTTCAGGAGGGTCGACAATACGGGTACGTTTGGATGCAGGATGAGGTTGTGGAATTGCTATTGGGCTAACTGGCTCTCAACAGACGAGGTAAATCTGGTGGCCAGGTTCGGGACGAATATAGAGATGAATACGATCCAGGACGTGGTGGTTACGGTAGGGCAATTGCTGATGAGCGAAGGAAGGAAGAAGAAGAGTATGGGAAAGGGAGGTAAGATATAATTGTGGGCTGAGTCGGACTATTGTGGCGCAAATATCGGCGTTATCTCTACATTATTCTATGTACACAATGTGAAGGGGGATTTTTCTATCAAATATTCGAACAGATCCATGAAATCCATCATGTAGGGTATCTCATTTGTTGTTGTAGCCGCCATCTTCGCATGCGACTGTCATTCATTCATTATTGCTGGGAGGCCCGCGATTTCAACACCGCTTGCTCAACCTGTTGCAACCACCAGGCATGGATTCTGGGATCATCCGATCAATTCGGGATGAAACTGGTGCCAAAAACATGCCTG